AAAAACAAATTTCAAAAATCACCAAAGAAACTCATATTGTTTACTCAAAGTCTGGCATGTTCCACTCTGTGGAAGAAGAATCTAAATATTTTTTTTGAATGATGAAAAGGTGTTGACAACATACTAAATCAGTTACTGTACCTAAAAGTTAAGCTAGTACATTGAACATTAGAGAAATTTTTATGTAACTATGCAAACAAACAGGAATCTGAGGGCCTAAAAGCTACTGATCTCAACTTAAACATAAGAGAGACATGAATAAATAATCACAGATTTCTGAATTATGATTTGTGGAAAATCAATAGTACATTATATTGAAAAATTATCAAATGACATGCCCCTGCCTAAAAAGCTTTCAAACAGTTGAGGACCTGGATGTAATATAAGAACACAAAGTCATCACTGTACAGTCAGTTATAATAAATCAGGTTTAGCACAGGGAGAAAAATAATATATTGGCAAGCATGTGTGTACTGGGAGGATAGTAGAAGCATAAGTTTAAGGTGGACAAAAGGGGATGAAGTATGAAGAGTACAAGTAAAAATGGAGACGGAATAATCAAGGAAAGCATCAGAGTAAGGAGTCTTAATTCTCTTACTTATATTTAGACTTCCCATTGTGGATGCCTTTCTCAATTATTAAATACAGTGTTAACAGTATTCAACTCTTTTCTACCTGTTTCCATGCTGGGAATTGTTTGTTTTTGAAGAAGCAGGCAACTCTTGGAAATCACTGAATGAGTCATCAAGGGATCCTGACTTAGAAGCATCTTGAAAATCCTGGAAGTCATCTTCTTCTGGTTTTACCACCTACATTTATTGAGTACATTTAAATAGAAAGCATCAAATCAATAAAATCGTGTATAATAAATCTCCAACTATAAACTTCAAAGACCACCTCTTAAATCTCTCCTTAGGCATGACTACCTAATTTTAGAAGAACACCCTTTAGATATAACGTCAACTCAAGTGCTTAAGGCAGGAATCCTGTCTTGCATTTTTTAGATACTCTCTTGTACAAATGGTAAAAGACTGGTTTAAAGAGCAAATCTACATAACTTTTAAATGGCTGAATCACATTTAATAGATTACTGAGAACCTGCCATCTTTAAAAAAACAGTGAACACAGACTCCTGATTCCATGCTTTAGAAGTAAGTAGTATTAACAGTTCATTTGTTTTATAGAAAAATGAGCTTATACTACAGTGTTTCTGCACTTAAAAAAAATGTAATATAACATGGGCATCTTTTCCATGCAGTACACATAGATCTTCTCATTTTAATGATCAAATAGTTTGCTACTGTATATATGAACCAAAATGTATCTAACCTCTCCTTCTGATGGACATTTAGCTATTTCTAATATTTTACTCTAACAAACAATGCTGTAACAAGTATCCTTGTATTTGAGTTACTATTTCTATGAGAACAGTGTGACTGTTAGGTTAGAAGATACAGACAATTAGGATTTTGATAGCTATTGCCAAAACTGCCTTCTGAAAAGGCTGCACCAATAAAGCCATTTTCTCTACATTTTCACTGACATTAAATATTGTTTTTAAAATTTTTTGCTAATATGAGAATGAAAAACAGAAGCATTTTAATTCAAAGTTTAGCAGCTTCCTCAAAAGACACAGTCTAAGAATTTAATCAACTTTATTAAGCCTGATACTTAAAATGCATATACTATAAACAACTGTAAAACTCTTTAGCCAAAACTCAAGTATCTTAAGCCTTAAGAAATTTCATGTTTCTTAAATAATAAAAAATTAAATTTTATATTGTTTTAATACTGTTTAATTTTCACCTCTAGTGTTAATCATAGTCCAGCAATCTCTGCATCCCTTTCAGGGACTATTGGGAATATGCACAGTTTCTCCATTTACCTGATTTGCAGGGTAAATTGGCATAAAGCTACTGGAAGCCTGGGCTGCAGCTCCCCCTACTGGTCCAATGAGGTTAATGCCCATGACTGGTTGTGCAAGGTTGAGGGGCATGGAGCCTGCAGGGCTGGAAGGCATCCCAGTTGGCTGACTCATGGCAGTAGGCAAAGTCAAAGGAAAGCCGCTTAAAGTTGGAACAGGAGCTGCTGGGAACTGGTTTAAAGCATCAGGACTCAGAGCAGGAACACCCCTCTATACAGAATAGGAGGAAAATGGAAATCTTTTAGGGGATTGCAAACCACATACAATCTAACCTGGCAAAAGGAGACCTAAATGTAAAACCTGTAGCCCTGGTATGTTTCTACTCTGATTTTCCCAAAACTCATGAGTTTGATAAAAGAAAATAAGTTTCAAGGTAAATGTAAGCCAATATTTAGCAAAGAAATGGCCCACATGTATCAATTCTGACATTTTAACTGACAAGTTTGATTAATACAATCAAAGCATTTAAAGTGATTTTTTAATAAAAGAAAAGTTGCTACTAGACTGAGAATACTTATCTGTATCTCAGGAATTTTAAACAAGGACCTCAAAGGACAGAAGGAGTGGTTTCATTTCTTACTAACTTTCAAGTTCAGAAGGCATACAGTTGGGCCAGAAAAATGTTAATACACTAAACAGTCTTTAAACAAATGAATATTTTGCTAGTCTATTAGTTCACCATATAAACTGCACATTTTTAAAGTACTGCATCCTGAAAATAATTTAAATTTTAATGTACAGAGTTCCACAAGCTTGTAGTAAAAAGGAATTCAAAGTTATTTGATCTAACTTAACTTAAGAAACAATGTCTACCTGTGTTACTGCTATCATGGCGAGAACAGTATAAAGTTCTTCTTTAGTAAGTTTTCCAGGTGTAGTTCGATTAGCTAAGGCCCATATCTGTCCAAGAGTTTCCCTGGGAAGTCCAGATGACATCAGAATGGGATAAAGTTGAGCAGTATCTATTCCAGTTGGAGTCATTGTGGTTTCTAAAATTTTCTTATAGGCATCTATTAAAGGAAAGATGGGATTACAAATGTAAACATATTATAAGTCATTCATTTTTCTGTTGTCATTGTTGCTTATAGAAGAATAATCTTAAGTCAAACTGCTTTAATAGAACTGAAGCTATGTCAAGGTTTGAACTGCGAAGATATTCAAGTGAAAATATCCAGCAGACAGTGAAAGTCTGGAGTTTAGAAGACAGGTTGGAGTTTGGTTCTAAAGATGAGTATTTGGGGATATAAAAGGACTTATAATTCAGTAGAAGATAGTAAAAATGGAGGTGGTATATAAGCAGATACTTTGGAATTTAAAACCAGATGTTCTGTATACTTATTTGCTAAGTCTAGCAACCCTAGTTACAGGAGTTAGGGTGATTGAAAGTGGGTAGGGCTAAGGTAGACAGAAAATATGTTTAAAGAAAAAATTTTACATCTAGGATTCAAATATAGATTACATAGTAGGCTGGCCATTAGAACATGTTTGGGCTAGGAAATTATGTGTACATGCATGTTTGGGAGGAGGAAGGAGAAATAAAAAGAAGCTGACAGAAAATACAACTCAAAAATATACCAAGATCTAGACTCTGTTTGTTTTGCTTAAAGACAGAGAGGAAGAAGAAAAGATGTAAAATGTCTAAGGTTAGAAGAAAACCTATTACTTCTATGTACAATTGAAGTCCCATCTGGTTGGGAAATTGGCCTTTGTGATTATGTGATTTTGACATAAAGGAGACATTGCTGTTTTTTTCCAAGGAGTTCAGCTACAATGGTTCTGCATAGTTTTATTTAAGCAAGTATAGAACAACTTGAGCCTAGGACCAATCCAAAAAACAAAAGATCTGATAAAAGTTAGCTTTAGTTTTTAAGGGGTTGGCAAAGTAGAGCAAATTGAAAAGTTGTAATAGAGACTAACATGTTGCTGTAATAGTCACTCTTCTATGCACATCAAGCATGGCTTAGACCGTTTCCTTGTAAAATGGAATACTATCACAAAATGTGCACTGTAGTGATTTTTCTGGTCAGCAGTAATACTATATATAAAGAAAAAATTGAACCCCACCTTCCAGTGTAAAAAACATGACATTTGTTTTTTTGCTTCATATAATATCACACGACAAAGAAGTCAGAAGAGTATTTTTAAAAATATAAACTAGTCACCAACAATTCAGAATATTACATTAAATATATTAGTACTATTGGTAACTTTTTAATCTATAAAAAATATCTGATGCCTTTAAATCACAATAAATCTAAAAGTTTTTAGAAGTAAAAGTATGTGATAGCCCATAAAACATTTTCTCCTGCATTTATATAGTTATTTCATATGTGAGGCAGTCTTAAGAAACACTAGATCTATATAATTTTCTATACTCTTTCAGAAAAAGGTGAACAAGAAAGAAGTTACAATTTCTTCTGCATATTTTGCAACCACAAGAGTAAATATTTACAACTGTATTTACAACATTTAAGCAAAATATCCCGATTGGACAGAGAGGCTTTATTACCTGGAACTAAACTTTCATTGTAAATCCAAGGAGGCATTCTGGGCTGAACAGGATCTTGTGAAGGAAATACTCCCACACCTAGAAGATAATGAACATTATCTCATACATATCCAGAAGAAGAGGAAATCACACTGAGTAATGGGTTTTTTGTAAGAAAAGCAATGGTGTGAGACACTGAAAAAAAGTCACCAATACAACTAAAATATTTGTTTTCTATCCAAATCTTGTACATTAACTATATCCTAAAGAATAAATGTAAAAGATATGCCAAATCAATATTCCAAGTCTTATAAGGCTTGCAACATTTCACATGTATTTCAAATTAAAGGTAAAAAAACATGATAGATGGTGGTTTAAAAATTAAATATGTTGAAATATAACTGCCCAGGTTTTACTTGTAGCTTTTAATGTTTTCTTTGCAAAATTTGATTTTCTTTTACCTGAATATGACACTGCTGCCTTAGGTGTAAAGGACTTTAATTATTTTGTCCACTAAAATATCCTCCAAAAGGTTGCTTCCTAAGCTGCCCATATCTAAGACTACAAGTTGAATTTATAAAATAAATTTGGGTCTTTTAGGCAGCGGTGTGTATGATTTATTTCAAAGAAGCAAAATGAAAACTATATTCTCATTGGTGACTTTTCCAGTTAAATTTTAACTTTTCAACCTTCATGGAAGAACAGAAAGTATAAAGGAGGGGAGGGATAAAAAGTTCTTATAAATAAAAGCAGAATAAATTTTAAATCAGGAATGATTCTGATTAAAAATAACTGATTATCAAAATTTTTTTAAAGGAGTAACAGTGTGTTGAACAAATTCAAAGCAAAACTGTAGGGGTTAATTAGAGAAAGGAATGCATTAAATGTATTTTAAGCAAAATTTTGAACAGCAAAATTAAGCAACATTCATTTTAAGATTAATGCTTAAGGTGTTAGCATTTGAGCAACATTTGGTTAAAAGAACTTCTTGCTGAATATTTCATGAGCTCACCACCGTCTTCAATGGACAGGTTTTGGTCTGAAGTCTTTTCTGCCTCTGCAGTAGTGGTACCATTTACACGTCCATCTACAGCACCCCCGTTATTGGCTGTTAAACTGGGATAGTTCTTACTGGAACCTGGGCCTAGGACTTTGTGCCCAACTTCAGAAGTACTTAATTTAATTTGTTCCTGCCCAGATGTACTTATATCACAAGATACTAGGAGCTTCTCCTCCATGGAAAGGCCTAAACAAACAGCATGAAGGATTATTTGTATATAACTACAAATTTCTAAATATTTCAGTCATTCATTTACACCCCCAAATTCTAAAGGGAAAGCCCTGCTACATATTTCATGTAAATTTTGAAATAATACAATCACTACACAGTTCTATACGATTTGAGAGACTTTAGAGATTAAGAAAACTTAAACATCATTGTCTACTTTGATTCTCAAGAATTCTATGAGACAGTAGGTAGAAAGTATAATGGAAACAGGTATACCTTAGAAATCTGATGACCTACATAAAATATAAATACTTGCACTAAATCCAGAGGAGACCCCTGGCCAGTAACATCATCTCTATGGCTGTTTCTCCATCTGTCAAGTGAGATAGTTTTAACTAATCACATGTCTGCTAAGATCCCTCTCAGCACTATGCTATGTCTCAAGACAGTGTGTAACTACTGCCTTCCGCCCTATGCCTCCCAATTATTTCATATGAGATAAAACCGAGGTACAGAAATGTTTAAAAGATTTGTCCAAGGACAAACTGATAGTAAATGGAGAACCTGGGCTTTTGCCCTGAAGTGCTCTAACACTGAACCAAAGAGAGTACTTTCTACAGCAGCTTTCCCTGGCATATTACTCTTAAAAAAATTATTTTGGTGATGTTCCCAAATAAGAATTATCTCTTAAAGAGATCAATTTGTTTTCAAAGTCCTAAGGTGGTTTGAATAGATGTAATTTTTAGATGCAAAAGTTTTCACTCTTCTGGAATGTGAGGCCCCCAGAACTTAAAAATCTATTCTTATTTTGGTGAATTTCAACAATACTCATATATTCATGTACATGTTTCTTTGCTAGCATCACTATATTATTCTACTTATATAAGAGAGATAAATTATCCAAGATTATCTTAAGAATACTTTTGTTAATATTCTAGAAGTTACCTGCTTTCTGTACATTGTATGAGGTTGAAGCAACAGAGAAAAAGGAATTTGCCCAGGGACACCATGTAAGGCAAAAGACACTGGAATCTAACCTGGAGGGAGAGGCTGTGCTCCAGCCCTCTGAGTATGCAACTGGCCAAGTGGGGTGGTGGGATGAAAAGACTGAAAAGGCTGAGAAGTGGAAGAAGGCCCACATGTGGGAACTTCAACAGGTCCCTGCATAAAGTCACTGAATTCTTCTTCATCAAGAAAGGCAGGTGATGGAGAGACAGTTTTAGTAGAATGAGATGATGTGGGATAATCTGCAAAATGGAAAATGCCAATGAAACACACAGAAATGAAAATCAACAGGGAAAAAGAAATTAGGATGTAGTACAATTCCAAAAGAGTATTTTGAAACATGAATAGTGAGGTGAACAAGAAATAACATGCAACAACAGTCAAATGGAATTATACAATGAATGGAAAACACTTTGATGTATATTTATACAGAATTCTTTTGTCTTTTCAAAAAGAGGTTTTATAGCTTTTTGCATTTGGTTCAAAAACAGAAAAATGTAAACCTCAAAATTTTACTTCTTTTATTAGATCAGCACTAGTTTTCCCCTGAGACCACTAATAATTTATATCAAAGTGGTGTTACTTTTGAAACCCAAACGATTTGTTTATATGGATAATATTCTTTCAAACCAATATGTACCAGATATAAGAACCTACTTTATACCACTGAATGCATTTTGGACAGATATATCTCTGAGGGTTAAATTTCACCATGTTAATAAGAAACAATGCACGATACATCTAATATTTGATATATCATGCCTAATTCATATACTTCGCAGAGTTCACATTTCAGTGAAGTTACCAAATGAGGAATGAAAATTACAAAAGACAATAAGAACATTAAACATATTACCAAGGTGATGTTTTCTTGTGAAAAGCATCAAAATTGGGACATCATAAAGTACAAAGTCAAAGAACAGTCAGTGTAAAAAAGTAAACCTTGACTAAGGACTATGTTTAAAAGATTTTTGGCTCTAAAGGATATAAAACATCACAGTGGCTTTTTACTGTTATATGTGAGATTCACTTACATAAAAACCTTCTCCATAGGGACTACACTTAATACGAGGCTTATTATATACTATAACAATACTACTATTGTTGCTGTTGCACTTTTTTCAAAACCCGCAGAATTTTAGACAAATCAACTTCTAAAAACTAGGGAGAGAGTCACACATAGATGGGAAGATGAAGACAACATTATCCCTGACTTATTTCCACTTCTACTTCTCCATAATCTACACCCAGCTCCAAACTGGACCACGTGCCCATGAGTCTGATGCCTTCTTCTTCTTTATTAAGGTATAATTGACATATACTATTATAGTTTCAGGTATACAACATAAAGATTTGATATATTTAAAACGATCACCAACAGTAAGTGTAGTTACTACCTGCCACCATACAAAGTTATAAATTTTTTTTCCTTGTGATGAGAACTTTTAAGATTTACTCTCCTGGAAACTTTAAATATGTATATAATGTTAATGACTAAAGTCATCATGCTGTACATTAATTCCCATGACTTGTTTTATAACTGGAAGTTTGCATCACTTGATCGTCTTCACCTATTTTGCCTGTCTCCCTTCTGTCAACCACCATCCTGCTCTCTGTATCTATGAGTTTTGGTTTGTTTGTTCTTTTGCTTTTCAGGTTCTACATGTAGTTGAAATTGTACAGTATTTGTCTTTCTCTGACTTATTTCGGTTAGCATAATACCCTCAAGGCCCATCCATGTTGTCACAAATGGCAAATAGTATTCCATCAGTATCTCATATATATATATATATATATACACACACACCACATTTTCTTTGTCCACTTATCAACCAATGGACACTTACATTGTTTCCATATCTTGGCTACTGTAAATAATGCTGCAGTTGAATACAGGAGTACATATATCTTTTCAAATTAAGAGTTTATTTTCTTTGGATAAACAACCAGAAGTGGAATTGCTGAATTATATAGCTGCTAAGGGGTTAATATCCAAAATACATAAAGAACTCATACAACTGTAGGTTCTACTTTTAATTTTTTGAGAAACTTCCAAACTGTTTCCACAGTGGCTATACCAATGTACATTTCCACAAACAATACATGAGGGTTCCCTTTTCACTACATCCTCACCAACACTTGTTTTTTCTTGTCTTTTTGATAAGAACCATTGTAATAGGTTTGAGGTGATCTTACTGTGGTTTTGCCTTACATTTCACTGATCGTGATGTTGAGCATCTTTTCATATGCTTGTTGTCCTCTGTATGTCTCCTTTAGAAAAATGTCTATTCAGACCTTCTGCCCATTTTTTGAACAGATTGTGTTGTTTGCTATTGAGTTGTTTGAGTTCTTTATATACCTTGAATATTAACCCCCTTGTCAGATACATGATCTGCAAATATTTTCTCCCATTTGGTAGTTTGCCTTTTGATTTTGTTGATGGTATCCTTTGCTATGCAGAAGACTTTTAGCTCAGTGTCATCCCATTTGTTTAGTTTTGCTTTTGTTGCCTTTGCTTTTGGAGTCAGACCCAAAAAGTCATGGTCAAGACCAATGTCAAGAAGCCTAACCCCTATGTTTTCTTCTAAGATTTTTGTTTCAGGTTTTATACATTCACATCCAACCCATTTTGAGTTAATTTTTGTGTATAGTATAAGAAAGTGGTTTAGTTACATTTTCTTGCATGTGGCTGTCCAGTTTTCCCAACACCATTTACTGAAGAGACTGTCCTTTCCCCACAGTATGTTTCTGGCTCCTTTGTTGCAAATTAAACTGACCATATATCTGTGGGTTTATTTCTGCGTTTTCTATTCTGTTCCATTAATCTATGTGTCTGTTTTTAATGCCAATACCATACTGTTTTGAT